AGTTTTAAAATCATGAGTATAGCTGATCTTGAGGCTCATTTTAGATCTGACATTCCAGCATTCTAATTTCCCTATATCATGAGATGACAGTAGCTGAACACGCTCTATACAGGAGAGATAGAAAATTCTTAACTATGGAAAACTGCCACAAATAAATCCCACTAGGTCTGGGGATTTCTAGAAACAGTATAACACGTAAAAGCATTAGCACAGAGTCTAGCAAATAGTAAGGGCTCAGTATTAGGTAGTTATCATCATCATTATTCAGATCACAGTCATCCTCAATGTTAAATAAAGGCAACATTTTATTCCAAGTAATAAAGAGAAAATGCTGAAGAAGTACCTTTTTTAATCTGTGACTTACTTTGGGAGATCTATCAGTACGGTTCATTAAGTCTCTGTCAGGTAAATCCTTCCAAGGCCTAAAAAATAAGTTTTCAAACATGAAACAGAGTCACAAAAGACTTACTGGGATGATAAAGTTCGTGCTATGAGGGAAAGCCTCCTCCTTATCTACAGAAAACCTTGGACTTAATACCTACCAAATGAATGTTAGGTCTTCTCATCTTCTTAAGTTTTGCTTGTTTGTTTTTCCTTGAACAACTTCTAGATATTGCACATTGCAAACCCTTCACAACTATTTGTTGCATCAAACTGAATTCCTAGCCTACACCTTTCTCCAACTACAGACAGTTACATCACCATCAGTAAAAATTTATTCAGTAATTGTTATGGAGATGTTCAAAAACATGCTGCACTGTGCTTAGTCGCTCAGTTGTGTCTGACTCTGCGACCCCATGGACTGTAGCCCGCCAGGCTCCTCTGTCCATGGGGATTCTCCAGGCAAGAACACTGGAGTGGGTCGCCATGTCCTTCTCCGGGGGATCTTCCCAACCCAGGTCTCCCTCATTGCAGGTGGATTCTTTACCATCTGAGCTACCAGGGAAGCCCATAAACAAAATGTGGGGCTGCCCTGGTGGCCCAGTGGTAAAGAATCCACCTGCCGATGCAGGAGACACAGGTTCAATCTCTGATCTGGGAAGATCCCACATGCCGAGGAGCAACGAAGCTCATGTACCACAACTGCTGAGCCTGGGCTCTAGGGCCCAAGAGCTACGGCTAACGGAGCCCATGTGCCCCAGAGCCCGCACTCCACAACAAGAAAAGCCACTGCGATGAGAAGCCCGCATACCGCAACTGAAAAGCAGCCCCCAGCTGTCACAGCTAGAGAAAAGCCCGTGCAGCAAAGAAGACCTAGCACAGCCAAATAAATCACTAAATAATTTTTTTAATGTGGCACTGACATACAATGGAACATTTTTCAGCCTTAAAAAGGCATGAAGTTTGTTCATGTGACGACATCAATGAAGCTTGAAAACATTATCCAAGGTGAAATAAGCCAAACACAAAAGAACAAATATTGTATGAGTCCACTTACAGGACGTACCTAGAACAGGCAAAACGCACAGAGGCGAAAAGCAAAATAGGACAGACATCACCAGGGAGGGGAGGGAGGAGGGAAAGGAGTTATTGTTTAACCAACTCCTACAAAACAAACAAGAATGCTTTCTGGTTCCCACACTGCCTACTCATTACTCCTTCAAGTGAACTGCTAAAGGGTTTGTTTGTCTTGTTTGGTGGGGGGGGGGGGGGTTGTTTATTGGTGTTTTTTTGGCTGTACCACGTGGCTTGTGGAATCTTAACTCCCCAACCAGGGACTGAACCCCAGGCCACAGCAGTGAAAGTGCCAAGTTCTAACCACTGGACCTCCAGGGCATTTCCCATTAATGCTTTGCTTTTAATCTAGCTTTCTCAAAGTTCAGTACATAGGCAAAGAAAGGTAACCCAAAATTTTGAGGTATTAAGCCATTTAAGGAAGATTCCATGATTATTTACCTGCCTTGAATCTTGGAGTCAAACTTTGAACTCAATAAAGTGTGAGCCTTTGTGAAGGTAAATCCTGGTAAGTGACGCCGACGAATAACTCTCTTGGCCGGCAAGCAGGAATCTGCGATGTTTACAATGGTAAGCACTGGGAGCTTGTCTGAAAGACCAGACCAGAAGAAAACATACAACATGGCATAAGGGAGCCAAATAGAAACAATTCAAGGACCTTGTAAGGGAGGAGACAGGGCTGGCTAATTCACCTTCAGTATCCAGAAGAGATTTGGAGGAGGAGTCCAGAAGTCGAGGGTGGCCCCTCTCAATCCGGCGGATAGTTGCCCAGCACTGCGGATGCTGACAGACAGCCAGGTCACAGGTGGTCTCATCCCACTGGCTTTTATCTGGCAAATCCATATCTACAAATGATTTAGGACAAAAGCCAATCTTGCAGCTTTCTAGCCCTTTGCAGAAACCACCACCATATAATTAGGGAATATTACGACCGCATGGATAGTGGCAGGCTACAATCCATGGGGTCGCAAAGAGTCAGACAGGACTGAGCTACTTCACTTTCACTTCCACATACATTAGCTAGTCCAAATATTAATTTAGACTCAAAGCATAAAAGGTTTTTATTGAATCATATCAATAGTGGTTACAGGATTGTTAAGAATAGGGAACCATGAAAGTATGAAAAACTCAGCACGGAATAGAGTGACAAGAATTTGGAGAAGGCCTCCCAATTGACCATTTAATTAATAGCTGAGTGACCTGAGATTTAACCAGTCTGAACTTCAGTTTCCTTAGCTGCAAAATGAGGAAAAGCCTATTTCACAGGGTCACTACAATTAGTTAATGTATATTAACAGGTCTGGCAAACAGTTCAAAATAATTATTAACATCCTTTCCTTTCCCCTTTCATTAATCATTAGGGAGAGGATGCCCCAACCTCCAAAAAGCCTTGTCAAATTATAACCAACGTACTTGGCACCTGAATATCCACAAATTACGGTATACACAGGGGCTCTGGAACCAATTCCCTATGGGTATCGTATCAAGGGACAGCTGAGTCACAGAAGTGCTTTAGATGGCTCAAACCTTTAGAAGAGATGCTTCATTTTTCAATATGCTCCAGTTCTCATACAGGCAGCTAAAATACCCACCAGAAATGAATGGGTTTGCTGAAACAGTAAGTCAGTCGACTCAGAAGTTGCATCAGAAACCACTAGCTTTTCATTTACTGGCTCTATGGTCTTGGGCAAGTGAATTCAGCCTGTTTCCTCATATAAAGTAGGAAAGCAGAAATCCCTAAGTAGGATTGCAGAAGCATTAAATGAGGTAATATACTTTTACATATGATATATAACAGGTGCTCAATAAATTTTATCTTTCTCTCTCTAGAAATGTTTTAGGCCATCACTACCACCAGATCCCTAATAAGTTTTTTTAAGGACAGTGTCCATTTCTTCTTTGTTTTACTCAAAACAATTATTGACTACCAAACATGTGAGGGGACCTGTTATGAGCACTGAGAACAATATTGAACAAAATAAGTCTCTGTTCTAAACAGCTTATAATTTAAACCAAAGATAACAAACCAGTAACCTGGAATTATGCCTGACCTATGACTTGTTTTATTTTGCCTACACTTTGAGCCATTACTTAAAAATGGAAATAGTCCATATACTGTCCAGATTTCCAGCTCCTCTTAAAGATCAAAATATCTAACAACTGCTGCTGCTAAGTCGCTTCAGTCGTCTCGGACTCCGTGCGACCCCATAGACAGCAGCCCACCAGGCTCCCCCGTCCCTGGGGTTCTCCAGGCAAGAACACTGGAGTGGGTTGCCATTTCCTTCTCAAATGCATGAAAGTGAAAAGTGATAGTGAAGTCTCTCAGTCGTGTCCGACTCTTAGCGACCCCATGGACTGCAGCCCACCAGGCTTCTCCGTCAATGGGATTTTCCAGGCAAGAGTACTGGAGTGGGTTGCCATTGCCTTCTCCGTATCAACACGGAAGCCCAATTCCAACTACACAGCACCTGGCTGGAGCTGAGTACTTCCTGACATCTTTAAACCAGGTGTATTCTATCCAAGTGGAGACTTCCCCCACCAAAGTCTATCATCTGTATCTGAAGCAGTTTCAGTTGCCATTTATCATCGTTTTTACTGCTCTTTTTCTTACAACAGAGAAATAGTTCTCTGTGCTCATGTTTCTAACACAAACAGGAAAACTAAAAGTGACCTGAAATAGCAAGCTTCAAGGAAAAAAAAGAAACAATTTCTGCTCAGTGGGCCTGAGGACAATTTCTACATACGTAATAGAAAAATGACAGGACTTAAAAAGCCCCTGCAAAACCATGAAAAATACTTTTGACTAGGAAAGATGCACGATGAACAATTCAGTGAAACAAAAAACAAATACAACAGTAACAGGGTTTGTTTTTGAATGCTTATGTAATGTTACGTTACTCTTACAAATGGCTGGGTGTTGCCCTTTGGTTACCCAACCAGCCCGAATTGAGCCCAGAGGTCTAGTCATGCCTGTGTCGATATTGCCCGCTTTAGCACCATGCTGGCAAAGTAGTCTGTATTTAAAAGTTTTAGGTAACAGCTATTCTTAATACCATTATTACAAAGTTGAGAAGGCTAAAAAGATTAGTGGGAGAATGAGGCAACAGATGGCCGCGATTCCTTGAAACGAAAGCAGAAACCAAGTTATTAGGACACCAAGCCCCAAGGGAGGTCGCAGCTCCGGACGGGCGAAGAGGTGGGCGAGAAGCCCCGCCTCTCGTCCGAAGGAGCCCCGCCCCACTGGCTCAGTTCACGCCTCCGTCTCCCACGCTAGGCACCCGGCAGCTCCGTCGCCAGGCAGCGGCGCAAAGCACTGTGGGAAAGGGACGGAAACCCCAGTGAGCCATACTTAATTTCTAGATGCGTTGGAGCCGTGAAGCAGGGAAACAAGCTTGGGAAGGAACGCCAGGTGCCTGTGAGGCCGGACGGAAGGCCCTCGGGCCAAAACCATGGCAGCCTGGGAAGTTCAGACGCACCGGCCACTGGAGGCGGAGGCGGGGCTGAGGGAGAAAGGAGGCTCAGGCGCGCGGGGCACTGTGGGACACGGTGTGGGCCACGCGGGGTGGGACGGAAGCCTCGCTGGGTCAGACCGTGGCGACGCGGGAAGTCCGGACGCCGTAGCGGCCTGAAGAGGAGGTCGCAGGCACGGTCTCCGGCCGCGACCATGGCGGAGAGGCCCGAGGACCTAAACCTGCCCAATGCTGTCATCACCAGAATCATCAAGGAGGCGGTAAGCAGCTCCAGCTGGCGGCCGGACCAGGGGCGGACGAGCGGGCAGAGGGAAACAGGTGCTGGGTCGGTGGGTTTGCTCACCTTCGCTTTTCTCACAGCTCCCGGACGGTGTCAACATCTCCAAGGAGGCCCGGAGCGCCATCTCCCGCGCCGCCAGCGTCTTCGTGCTGTACGCCACATCCTGGTAAGGTGGGCAGACTTAGCCGAAGCTTAGCTGGGCTAAAGCTTCTAAGGGAGGCGTAAAGAGATCCCCCTGATTGGGAGTTAGGCAACCCCAATAATTCTACCTCAGTGGAGCGAGGTTCCGAGCCCTCGTTCTAGATCTTGAAATGTCTGAAACAAAGACAGTTACTTTAACCCTTTTGTATAAGGAAGGGTGGGACTTAGCGTGTCACAAGAATCCATGCAGGCATCTAAGACGCAGGCTTTCCCATTCCACCTTGGGCCCACACCATACGCGGCAAGAGGGCATCTGACAGCCCTTAATCTTTCTTCTTTCAGTGCCAACAACTTTGCGATGAAAGGGAAACGCAAGACACTGAATGCCAGCGATGTGCTGTCTGCCATGGAGGAGATGGAGTTTCAGCGGTTCGTTACCCCGTTAAAAGAAGCTCTGGAAGGTAAGTGCCCTTTCGTCTTCTTGAACATCCAAGTAGATGTTCATCCTAAATGACCTGCTCAACCTGGCCCTGAGATTTGATCAACTTGAGTCTCTTTTAAAAGTCCAGTAGCAAGTATCGGATGCGACTCAAATGGTAGGCACCACCTCATTATCTGTTTGGTGATGCTGGGCAGATTATTTTTCCTTTTGTACCTCAACTTTTCCCGTTACCCAGTCGAGTTTTCTGCTGCTGTCTGTCTGGTTCAGCCTTGCCTCCTAACCTCCTCTTTACCCTTACAGCTTATAGGAGGGAGCAGAAAGGCAAGAAGGAAGCTTCAGAGCAAAAGAAGAAAGACAGAGACAAAAAAACAGATTCGGAAGAGCAGGACAAGAGCAGGGATGAGGACAACGATGAAGATGAGGAAAGGCTGGAGGAAGAAGAACAGAATGAAGAGGAGGAAGTGGACAACTGAAGAGGATGGGGAGATGCCCCTTGGAAGGAACCACGTGAAAACCTGGTACATGTTTGTGTGAAGCTTTTTCCGGCTGGGCAGAGTAGTCTTAGGCAGAAGAGCCTGAGAAGATTGAAATAAAAACTGAATTATCATCAGGATTATTATCAAAGTCAGTGCTTCCCAGACTCAGAGCATCTGAGGAGCAGAATCCTGTTTTGCTTAATCAGTCTCAAGGTTATAACTTTTTGGCAAGAGGGATTCTGAATGGCAAATTTAATTGGTCAGTTTGATCTCTTTTGTTTACATACACATATAGTTAGGCAATTGTTGGTCCCCAGTTCCCTCCCTGCCCCCCAGAAGAGTAATAATAACTTCCATGCTGCCAACTGTGTCCCAGATCACAGAGGCAGTTCAGGCTCAGGAAAAATTAGGGTTTGATCAGAGTCAACCTGTTTGATTATACAGTATTTGGCAATTCTAGCTTATTTCAAGTGATCAGAATGGCTTAGCTTTAGGAAACTACTAACAGGGTTGACGAGAACAATGAAATCTGCTGTCTCTTCACTTGACAGTAACATTAATTGAATTTTGTTTTCTACAGACCCACTTGACTTAGAGCCCTTCTGTATTGTCTGTAACCAGGCCTGTAACCTTCTATATTGCGTGTAACCTGCTTGGAAGGCTACCTTCTAGGCACATACTGTTTTTAAATCCACAGAGTAGAATTAGATAAGCAAGGTTGCCAATGTCTTACTCTTATAAAACAGTAAGATGGTTTAGTCTTAAATGCACCTCACTGCCTGCCACTGTACAGCTTCAGGATTTGTCATCACTTCCTGGAAGGTATAAAATTCCAAGTTTTCGTGTCCAGTAGTCCATCTTCCAGATTTGTGACTATGACTTTTCATTTTTCCAATTCACGACAAGTTCCGAACTTTATTTTCTTCTAGGCACAACTTTCTCCCTCTGTGCTTCTCACCACCTGTCTCTGTCCTGCCTCTCCTCTGCTCCCCATTCCCACTTTCTCCGTCCCTCTTTTTTTTACTTCTGCCAACCTAGGGACTTGGATGACCTGCAATATCCCAGAGTATGGGTTCCTGTGATTCTCTAGTTCTAATCTCATGTCTTAAAACTGATTTTGTAAACCTTTTTGACCCATGAGGGAAATCTGATGGTGCTCAGGAATTTAATTCCGCCCCTAACCCATCCCCTTTAACTGCTTCTAAGTATCTCTGTTGACCTTTCCAGGTTTTCTTCTCTTTCCATTTGGTGCTCCAAGCACTTTTTTGTTGGTCTCTTTAAGTTGAGTGCTTGGAGGTTGAAAGGTAGTGAAGTGTAGTTTGACACTGTTGATTTATTAAATGAATACAGTGGAAAGTCTGTTGATAAATTGAGTGAAGAATATTGAGAAAATTATAATGCTTTGTATAATAAAAAACATTATTGTTAAAAGTGATGACTCCTCTATCATTCTTCTTGTTGATAGAAGTGTGCTTTGGGGGAGGACCACAGGTCATGTTCTGTACAGTTCTTGTGGTGTGAACTGGGCCAGATCCTTGTAAATACGGGCTCTTGCATCACCTCGGACCACCAGCAGATGTTGGTTGTTAACAGGTAAGGGTGGTGCTCTTCAACCACAGTGAGAGCTTTCCAAGGCTCTGCTGGGCACCCTCTACATACTAGATGCGAGCATTTATTGAATCCCTGCTATGTGTCTGGCAGTGTTCAAACTGCTATCAAGTATTAACTCTTAAACCCTATGAAGGAGCACTGCTGTTACCTCCATGATTTCAGCTGCAGCACCGTATCACCTCTGATCTATTAGTGTTTCAAAGCACTTTTCATACAATCACAACCCCAGTGGCTTTTCCATCTCCACAGCAGAAACCCCTTTTTTTTCCCTGCTCTTACATTTATATTTGTATGAAAGACAAAGTTATTCAATATATATTTGTTTCTTATTTCTCCCTTGCAATTTATACTGATGACATATCTCTAACAGCTATGATGTGACAGTATTACGTCCCTGCTAAAACAGCATACAGAGTCCTTCATAGTTGATTACTGTACAAGTTTTTTTTTTTTAATACACTAAAGTACAGTTTTTTCATCTCCAAGTTGGCAGTATAATACGTATCTTGAAAGAATTTTAACACATAATAGATTCTTAACACAATGGCATATACAAAATAAGGCCTTGTTTTTATCTTTTTCTCTTCTGTACACATGTTCATTTCCCTTTGAATTAACAGAACAGATTCCAAATTGGAAAGAAATCATTTTTATAAGAAGCTCTGAGATTCCGTGAAAGAATCAGTGAAACTAGGTAGGCTGGTGTCCGGGCAAAGGGGACAGAGCAGGGCCCGAGACGCTCGCTCAACATGCAGAATGGCGCCTGAAAGTTCGTGGATCTGTATGTGCTGTGGAACCCTATCATTGGCGCCAAGGACCATGCGTCCATCCAGATGAACGCGTCTGAGGTTGACAAAGTGACAGGCAGGTTCAACGGCCAGTTCAAAAACCTCTGCTATCTGCGGGGCCATTCGCAGGAGGGGCGAGTCAAATGACTCCATTCTCCAGCTGGCCAAGGCTGACGACATCATCTCAAAGAACTTCTGACTATAGAGACGATCCGGGACATGGAATATCTGTTATAAATAAATAGTGAAAACCTAAAAAAAAAAAGAATGAAACTGATCATCTTGTCTAAGATAATTAGTTTTCTTTCATACTAGTAGACTAGGAAAAATGTAAAATCTGGATACACACACAACATAACATTTGTCCTCTGTGATGAAATTAAAGACTAATCCCTGTGGCTTCTGATAAACATCAGAGGCACTGTTGTCAAGTACTTGTTTTTGGAGCAGAAGAATTTGAAATAAATTTCAAGTTTCAGTTTGCTCATTCTATGTTAATATATTCATTTCAAATTATATAATTTTTTTTATTTAGGTAATATTGATTTCTAACATAAATTTCATGTGTACCTACCTGGGAGGCACTCAAAATAATTTAGTGGGGGCTTGGTTTTGTTTGTTTTTATTTTTATTTAGTAACTACGGTATACATACTAAAAGTACAAATAAGAGGAGAGTTTTGTACATGTTCACAAACAACACATTCATAAAACACTGAGATCAATAAACAACATGACCAGCACCCTAAAAAAGTCTGATTTCCCTTCTGATTATTCCCTATCCTACCCAGTAGTAGTCTCGATCCTGACTCCCAGCACAGATTCATTTTGCCTGGCTTTCTACTTAAACGAAATCATGCAATATGTTCTCTTGTGTCTGACTCCTTTTGTTCAACATTATATTTAAGATTTATATTGTTGCATTCACAGTACTTTTGATGGTTAAGAGTAACAGATTAAGGTAAAAGTATATTTTAAAGGCTGCAGGAAGTGGAAACAGGTTTGTCAGCCAAGAATAAGAGAGAGAGGGGCTTCCGTGGTGGACCAGTGGTTAAAACTGAGTTCCCAAATCAGTGGGCACAGGTTTCATCTCTGGTGGGGGAAATAAGATCCCGCATGAGACATGGAAAAAAAGATTGTACCAAACAGCACCAAGATCCCGAATATGGCATGGCATGGCCAAAAAGACATGGGCAAAATAGATTAAAATTTCCACCCTGTGATTACCTCTATAAGGGGGGCTTCCCAAGTGGTGCTAGTGGTAAAGACTCCTCCTGCCAATGCAAGACTCGGGTTCGATCCCTGGATCGGAAGATCCCATAGAGTAGGAAATGGCAACCAGCTCCAGTACTCTTGACTAGAAAATTCCATGGACAGAGGAGACTGGCAGGCTATAGTCTACAGGGCTGCAAAGGGTCAGACACAACTGAGTGATTGAACACACCTCTATGAGTTGAAGAAGTATGGTAAACATGCATTGAAGAGAAATCCTAGTGGTGACATGGGGCAAATTAATCTCTTGGCAATTGTTTTCCCAATCTATAAAATGAAGGTAGTAACATAGTTGTCATCAAATATAGATAAGTGAATGTAAAAGGTATGGTACTGTCCCTGGACTCTTTAATGCACAAAAAACATTACTTTCTTTCCACCACCTTCCTTATTTGAACACAGATCAGAACTCTAGTAGCTAGGAAATAAGCAGTATCATATTTTCCCAGCTTTAAGCCTGTCTCTTAGACTTGGAATATAAAGACGTATAAAACAGGTTTGGAGTACAGATTTTGATAAATAAACCTGAGAATAAGTGTAATACAACCCACTGGCATCCTTCACAGTTCAAAATCAACTGTTCAATAATCCCTGTCTCACTTTTACAAAGGAATTCCTTTGCTACGGTATTGATTCCGACCCTTATTTCACTCAACTGAGGTTACCAGTTCACCCAAGCCCCATAAGACTCACCAGATCCCTCCTGCCCTTGAATATACTCTGCTGCACTTTGCCCACTCACCCTCAGACTTTTGGTCAAATCTCTGCTTGTACCCATGATAGACAGACAGGTCTGATGCTCCTACCAGACTTGAAGTCATTCCAAAGTGCCCATGTCTTTCACATCCCATTTCCCAAACGATGGCACAGAGTAAGCCCTGAAAAATTACGCTGGAATAACTTTTCTCTGAAAGCTTGGAGGGCAGCCTGCTGCTGAACTCAACAACTTTGAGGTGCTTAGTCCGCAAAAGTGGACTTATTGTGCTAGGCACGATGGTGTTGTTTTAAAGTCCTAGACATCTAATTATTCTTTCAACAAGCAACCAGCGCCAAGTATGCGCTAGGCTGGGAAGAGAGGGGATTTAAACAAAACCATCTTAGAAGCCGGTCCACAAGCAGCACGTAACAGCCCCTCCCGTGACCCGCAAGTGGGCTCCCTAGGGCCTTTCCCTGCGCATGCGCAAATCTCAGCCAAGGGAGGGGCGGGCCCGCCAGCCCTTCGGCGCACTCGATTGGCCAGGCCTGCTGACGCGTGGGAGGGGCCGCGGCGGGAGCGGACCAGCCCTCAGGCAAAATGCCGTAGGGGGCGTGGCCTGCGCGCCGTCGGGGGCGGGCTGCGTGGGTGGGGGGAGTGCTTCTTCGAAAGAGCCGCCCCGCCCCCACGTGGGCTCCGGGAGACTAAAGCGCGCGACAGCGGTGGCGGGAGCGGTGTCTCGGACCCCCTTAGGGAGGCAGGTGAGTAGGGTCCGGCCTCGGGGAAATGGCGGACTTGGAGGAGGGGGCTATGGCACCAAAGTCTTGTGTCCCCAGACCCAGGTTGTGTTGTGCGCCCCAAGCGCCGGCTGTGCAGCCGGGGACGGAGTCACCGCGCGACCCCCATTTGGGGCTCTTAAAGGTAGACTGTTCAGCTGCAGCGGGGTTTGGAGGCGGTCTCTGCCTGGCCATTGCCCTTAGAGACCCGGGTCTTGGCTCCGAGTCTCCTCTGGGGTCCTTTCAGTTGGAGACCACCGGGGCTCTCTCCTTCGGTTCAGAGCCCGAGGTGCCTCGCAGGATGTGGGATGGCGGTGCAAACAATAACAGCCGCTCAGTGCTAGGATTGCTTGAACGTTATCTGCATTGGCCTATTCCGTCACATAGCAGCCCATCGAGGTCGGTTCAAGTCCTTATTTACCAGACGAGGAAACTGAGGTCTTACAGCTGAAAAGTGACAGAATCAGAATTTGAACCCACATCCACAGACTCCAAAACGCTGTAACCGTCGTGCTCCCAGCTGTAGCCAGGTTCAGAGTCACTGTTCTGCCTCTTCCCTCCTCTATTCCCTTCTCGCAGAGCTCTCCAGGAGCCCACCTCTGCTGATAGGCAGCTTTGAAATCTGTACTTAAAATATCCAGGGGTAATGGTGGACACTGAAGAATTCTTTGCTGGAGGGCTTCTAGCCCCGTTGACCCTCTGTACAATCTTGGACCAGTGTCAGCCCAGATTACTATCATTTCAGTGATGTAATCAGCACGCTTTAAGGAACTCCCTTAACCAATATGTTCTAGGAGTTCGGAACTGGCAGATTCTCCTTTTAGTTCCAAATAGCTAAGCCCAGATGAAACTGGGCTCTTCAAAGTCACAACAAGGCCTGGGTCTCCTTCTGTTTAATCCCCATTCCAAGTCCTGGGGCAGGCCGGAATAGATATTCAGGAAATGCAGGTTGAATAAACAGGCAGCCAGTCGGATTCTTTTCAGAACTGCCTACCTACTGGGTCCTTCTGGGGCTTTGGATTTCTCAGCCCTGAGCACCTTTTACCTAGCTGGCTCTCCTGACTGTCTCCTCCCCTGCTAGTGGCAGAGCCAGCCTTCCCTGGCAGCAGCTTGCAACCCTTTGTGCCAAAACCATAGCCTCTGGAATCCTCAGAGCAACACAGCGTGGGTGCGTCAGAACCAGAGCTCTTCTCAGCTCCTCCTGGTGGTGGTTCTCTAGGGCCCAACTTAGGTTACTCTCGGGTTGGGGAGGTTACCTTCCAAGGAAGGAGATATTTTCACAACCAGTCTGAAATTTACTTATGCCTCAGTGTCCCCTCTTCCATGAAGCTATCCATCCTTGATTCCCGGAGAGACAGGTCCCTCCCATAGCCTATAGTCCACCCCTCTACCGAAGCATCAGTATGGTGATGGTTTCTCCTCTACATCTACTGCTGGAAGGCAGGAACCCCCACTTCAGATACCCTGGAAGATCCTGTGGTCCATCCAGTTTTGAGGAATGTTCTCCCTTCTGGATGCAGAAGGCACAGCTGTGAGGACCCTCCTGGAGGTCTAGTCAGCTCACTTCTGCTCCTGATGATAGTAAAAGTAGCAGCAGCTTCGTGTTTACTGTGTGGCTCCTTGTGCCAGGCACGTACCTCTTCACTATCTCTGATCTTCTCTGCAGCTTTGTAAGTTAGATAGTATCGTTCCCATTTCATAAATTGTGAAATGAAGATTCTGCAACCTTGCCCAGAGTCACACACAGACAAGACCTGGGACTGTTTGATCCTGAAATGTTGTTCTTTCTGCACCGCCTACTACAGCCTGCCAGTTAAGCTAATGTGTTCTGAATCCCGTGGTCACTTGCCCTTGTCTTTGGTATGGTGTCACAGGATTTGAGCTGTGGTTTACAGGCTCCCTTAATTTAGGAGAAGGGCCTTTCCCAAGTTTGTGACAAATCTTCCAGTCTTTGAGGGTCTTTTGAGAAAGCAAAACTTGCATCTGGATTTGGCTCTGATATTCAGGGGGTGTTGTTCTGCTGCACAAATGTTTGTTTACTAAGCTTATATGTAACAGGATGACTGTGTGTGGGGCAGGTAACAGGGCACTTGAGTGGAAGCCAGGTCAAGCTCAGAGCTGTACATGACTTGCCATGGGTGTCAAACAACTCCTGTCATTTTCTGCACCCTGCTTCTACAGCAGAATGTGAGAGATTAAACAGGATTGGTGATTTCAACTCATTTAATGTTTTCAGCACTAATAGCCATTTCTCAAATCTTTCTCTGAAACCTAAAATTAAAAAAAAAAAAAGCAGATAAAAGTGGAACTGTGTTAGTAAGGCCTGCCCCTTACCACCCTCACCCTCCTCCCTTGCCCCCCACCCCTGAAACCCCCAGTCTCCTCTGGGTAAATTAGGACTGCACAGCCCTAAGCAGCCCTGCCCTGTTGCTTCTGAAGCCATTTGTTCCTTCAGCAGCCTTCTAAAGTAGATGTAGAGTTGAGGCCACTGGAATGCAGTCTTGAATTCCAGAAGCCTGGGGCCAGCTGCCATAAAGGTTGTTCTCTGGAAAGTAAGTTAGAACCTAGCTTCAGAATGTGAATGACGTTGAGCAAGTCACTTCACCTCTCTGAGTCTCTGTCTTCTTAGCACTAAAAATTAGGACAATTCTCTGCAATTACATGAGATAATATATGTGTATAAAGTACCTAGTGCAGTGCCCAGCACGTGACACACCCTCAGTACTTTTTTCTCTGATATCCTGCACCTCTCCAGCCTCAAGGCAGAGATAGCATAGGCAGAGAGACTTGTGCTGAATCAAGTGTTTATCAGTAGTATGGGGTATAGTAGGCAAAACCCTGTGGTCATTGTCTGCAACAAACTCACATTCTGGCTCAGTCACTAACTAGCTGTGTGGTCTTAAGCAAGAGACTTAACCTCTCTGAGCTGGGCTAGTCCTTGGCAGACCTGAGAGCAAATCTTGCACAGAATTGGTGCTCAGGACTTTGTATCTTCTGAACAATTGGTCATATGGGGGTTGGGCCATCTTTGGGGAGGCCTGGCTTGCCCTGGGTCAGATGATGTGGCTGGCCCCGGGGGTGTGGCGGCAAAGTGGAACCTGTGTGGTTCCTGATAACCCCAGCCCCGCCAAGGAGGAGGATCAGACAAAGCCGGCCCCTGAGCTAGCTGGGAGGAAGCCAGGGGAGAGAGAGAGGGGAAGGCATCATTATTGTACTGAGGGACCCCCCTCCCACAACAGGCCCGGAGACTGAGCAGCTTTGGGTAAGTCCCTGCCCCTCCCTGGGCCTCTAGGTCCCATTCAGACAAGGGGAGATTGGTGGCTCTTTGTCATCGCCGCCCACCACCCCGCCTCCCCAAGCTGGCTGTTAGGCACTTCCAAAAGGAAGTGTCTAAAACGGAGCTCTCCACCTCCTCACTTTCCGAGCTCAGCTTCCCACCGCCCTCTTCCTGCCTGTCACTGGCTCCGCTGTCCTCCAGGTCAAGCAAGCTAGAGCATCCGCCCCAAGAGACTGCCTCTTGGCCGCCTTAGGATGGCCCCTCCTTCCCGCCCCTTTAGCCCCACAGCCTCTGTCCTCCTCTACTCCTAGCTGGCTGGGCTCCACTAATGCTGCAAGAATAATCTTCCTAAAGGCAGTCTCTGACCAAGCCCCTCCCCACCCAGCTCAGAAATCTTCCCTGACCTCATCCTGGCTACCCCCCATCCCTTCCGGAGGGAACGTTCTCCCATTTCCCTCTACCAAGCTGAACCCACTCACCCTGCAAAACCAACTTCGAGTCCTGTCTTCTTCCAACAAGCTTCTGACCTCCTGACTCACACTGGAAAAGTCCTGGCTCGTTCACAGTGGGCTCGGCCTCTCCGAGATGCACTCAGTCAGCCCAGCTTCCCACTATAGCAGTGCCAGCTAGATGAGAAACCACGTGGTGTGCGAGTGCCCACCGTGGCCTGGCACATAGTAGGTGCTCAGGAAACACATCTCAATGCCGCAGCTTTCTTCTTACACCTCTTACTTGGCATTGAGGGTGTGTTGTCTTTGTACTCCATGTGGTTAAATATTTACTGTGTGGCAGAGTGCTGTGGGGGAGGCAGAAATGAACTAAGTGTGGACCCTGCCCTGCAGAAGCTCTGCCTACTGGGACAAGATAAGACAGGTCCACAGAGAACTGTTACATAAGAGAGACTGATCTGGGCCAGAGGAGATGCTGCAGGGGGACAGGGAAGAAGGGGCTGCCTCGTGGAGAGCCCGGTCGGATTTGGGGGTGGGAGAGCTGTGGAAAGAGGAGCACAGCCTCCTAGGGAAAGAAGGTGAGCCAGAAGGTGGCCAAGTGTGGCAGGTGCTTGGGGAGCAACATGAGGCTGTCTGGCTGGAAAAGACACTTGTGGCCACTCCCAGGGGTGTCTGTCGCTCTGTCGGACACTGTGCCATTTAATCCTGTTCATCTGTGTCCTACCTGTTAAGAAGTCCATGGGTCAAGGGGTTAGCAGTGCTTTTCCCCAGAGGCACAATTTTTCTTTTTCTGCTTATCTGTACTTTTCTAAAATTCCTGCCACTCCCATGGATGTCATTCGTGGAATAGGCAGAGCTGAAGTGGTGGCTGGATCAAGGATTCTCATAGTCACTCATGTCCAGTCCATCCCAGACTGATTCTTTGATAAAGTACAATGAAAATAAATTATTAGAGACATGTTTTGTTTTTTTTAAAGAGTGACTATAAAATACAAATCCAGATTTTATATTATTAGATTCACCTTGCTCTGGAAGTTTCTGAAGGCCTACTATCATGTGTCTACTTACCTTGATGCAGGCTGGCAGGGACTGATGAACACCAGTAGCACTGGGTTAGAGCCTGGGGGAATGTGACCACCTCTGGGTACCAAGGACCATGCCTCATGTGCCTCTCGTTGCCCCCAGAGCTGAGCTCACGGCAGACCCCCTGGGAGACCTCCATTCCAGCCAGCTGACTGTCCTGTGCCCACCATGCATCCTCAGTCAGTTCTTCACAGCGGCTACTTCCACCCCCTGCTCCGGAACTGGCAGACAGCTGCCACCAGCCTCAGCGCCTCCAACCTCATCTATCCCATCTTTGTCACGTGAGTCCCCCAATGAGCCAGGTCTCTGATCTACAGGGGGTGGGTCGGGGGTGTGTGTATGTATGAACAGAGCAGGTGTCTGTGTTGTAAGGGGTAAAGTGAACTGTCAGCTTGGAGCTCAAGGTAATTGGAAGTGACCTATGGGTTTAGGACAACCATCTTTGAAAAAAAATAAACCTTGAAAAGAATACAGTCCTCCTTGTTGGAAGATAAAAATAATCCTTGCCTGTCATCCTGAGTTTGTGCCATAAAACAGAAGTTGAGATCTTCTGTAGGTTGTACATGTAAAAGTCATGTCATGATCATTCATGATAGCACCTGACTCTTATTGCGGGCTTAGTGTACCCTGGGTACTACTATGCTAAGCACCTATACATATTATCTCATTCTATGCTGACAGTATTCAGATGCGAAAAATACGGATATGATCCCTTACATTGTCATCTCCACAGGGCAAGGATTTTTGTCTGTTTCGTTCACTGTCGGATCACCTTGTCGCTCTGTCGGACACTGTGCCATTTAATCCTGTTCATCTGTGTCCTACCTGTTAAGAAGTCCATGGGTCAAGGGGTTAGCAGTGCTTTTCCCTAGAGGCACAATTTTTCTCTTTCTGCTTATCTGTACTTTTCTAAAATTCCTGCCACGCCCATGGATGTCATTCGTGGAATAGGCAGAGCTGAAGTGGTGGCTGGATCAAGGATTCTCATAGTCACTCATGTCCAGTCCATCCAAGACTGATTCTTTGATAAAGTACAATGAAAATAAATTATTAGAGACATGTTTTGTTTTTTTTAAAGAGTGACTGTATAAAATACAAATCCAGATTTTATATTATTAGATTCACCTTGCTCTGGAAGTTTCTGAAGGCCTACTATCATGTGTCTACTTACCTTGATGCAGGCCGGCAGGGACTGATGAACACCAGTAGCACTGGGTTAGAGCCTGGGGGAATGTGACCACCTCTGGGTACCAAGGACCATGCCTCATGTGCCTCTCGTTGCCCCCAGAGCTGAGCTCACGGCAGACCCCCTGGGAGACCTCCATTCCAGCCAGCTGACTGTCCTGTGCCCACCATGCATCCTCAGTCAGTTCTTCACAGCGGCTACTTCCACCCCCTGCTCCGGAACTGGCAGACAGCTGCCACCAGCCTCAGCGCCTCCAACCTCATCTATCCCATCTTTGTCACGTGAGTCCCCCAATGAGCCAGGTCTCTGATCTACAGGGGGTGGGTCGGGGGTGTGTGTATGTATGAACAGAGCAGGTGTCTGTGTTGTAAGGGGTAAAGTGAACTGTCAGCTTGGAGCTCAAGGTAATTGGAAGTGACCTATGGGTTTAGGACAACCATCTTTGAAAAAAAATAAACCTTGAAAAGAATACAGTCCTCCTTGTTGGAAGATAAAAATAATCCTTGCCTGTCATCCTGAGTTTGTGCCATAAAACAGAAGTTGAGATCTTCTGTAGGTTGTACATGTAAAAGTCATGTCATGATCATTCATGATAGCACCTGACTCTTATTGCGGGCTTAGTGTACCCTGGGTACTACTATGCTAAGCACCTATACATATTATCTCATTCTATGCTGACAGTATTCAGATGCGAAAAATACGGATATGATCCCTTACATTGTCATCTCCACAGGGCAAGGATTTTTGTCTGTTTCGTTCACTGTCGGATCACCAGCCCCAAGAACAGTACTTGACACATAATAAGTACTTAATATATATTTGTTGAATAGGGAATTCCCTGGAGGTCCAACAGTTAGGACTCCATGCTTTCGCTGCCGAGGGCCCAGGTTCATTACCTGGTTGGAGAACTAAGAGCCCATAAGCTGCGCGGTGCATCCCCAATGTATATATATATATATTCTTGTTGAATGAGTGAATGAATCGACCCAGGATACAGATCAAAGAGAATATCATGTGGTCAGGGTCACCCAGGCAGTAAGTGACTGGGCTAGCAACCAAGGCCCTTCTGACCTTAGAGTCCAAGTTCTTAGCCACTTGACTCCTCCCTGTGAGTACTGTTCTTCGAGCACAGTTGCTTGTTGTCACTGTTATTCTTGTTGTTCCTATTATTATTTCAGGCCCTGGGCTTGGCCAGGCAGGGAAACCAGACACTGGATCCCATCCTCCTCCCACCCTCCGCCTCCATATCCCTTCCCAGCTTCCCAGCCATCCCTCCCAGTCACCCCCTCACCGCTGGCCCTTCCCCCAGCTGCCAATCCATAGCCCATCCCCGGCTCTTGCAGGGATGTTCCTGATGACAAACAGCCCATCGCCAGCCTTCCAGGAGTGGCCAGGTAGGAGTTGGGGTGGGGAGGGCAGGGTTATGATGGAGGGAGCGATTTCATAGGTGGAGGTGCCAGGAAGCTGATGCAGACCCAGGAGAGAGACGATCTGGAGAGGCTGACTTCCGGTCAGAAGGGTTTTCTCGGGGGCTGAGTTGTTCCACAACAGAGGAGGCAGCCTAGTGCCTATCACCAAAGGCATCACAGCAGAGAAGAGTTGAAGTTCAGATGGGAGCTCAGTAAAAGAACCTTGAAGGGGTCTTCCAAGCTGAATCCCACAGCTCTGCCACATGGGGCCTCGGTTTGCCCGTCTGTCTGATGGGTGCGTTCCTGCCCCACCCTGTACTGTGAAACTTGAGCCCTCCTAATGCCATCTGCAACTTGACTCTTACCAGAGGCTCAGACCAGAGGGGTGGGGGGACCCTTGCCTGGGCCCTGCCTCACTTCAGCCCCGGCACACAGGTACGGTGTGAACCGCCTGGAAGAGATGCTGAAACCCCTGGTGGAAGAGGGCCTGCGCTGTGTCCTGATCTTCGGTGTCCCCAGCAGAGTTCCCAAGGTGATGAATCGGAGGAGGAGTCAGAGGAAAGGGTTAGGGGGAGGGATAAGCTGAGGTTCCACAATGACCACACCCTCGCTCCAGCCTGGTGCTGGCCCGGGGCTCTGCTACATGGGGCCTCAGCTTGCCCATCTATCTGATGGGTGCGTTCATCTGTCTGATGGGTGGCCTGGGGCCACCGGTGAAGGAACACAGCCCCTGCCCTGGAAACAGCAGCCATGTGGCATCAGGAAGTGAAGCAAGGCTGCAGTTCTGAATGGGCAAGTCAGGTCCCCTGTACAAAGCGGGAACAGTCCTCCGCAGGCCTCCTGGTCCAGGGGCGGTGGTGATGCTGAAGGAGTGGGCTGGCCTGTTCTGATAGCGGGCCACCGTGCCTGCCTAAGGCTTCATGTAACAGACACACCACGCTGTCCTTCCCCTGCCGCTAGGATGAGCGGGGCTCCGCAGCCGACTCCGAGGACTCCCCGGCTATCGAGGCCATCCGTCTGTTGCGCAAGAATTTCCCCAACCTCCTGGTGGCCTGCGACGTCTGCCTGTGCCCCTACACCTCCCATGGTCACTGCGGTGAGCTCCCACCTCCCACCATTGCCACCCGTACTCCCACTGCGCTAGGGATGCGCTAAGGCCCGAGCTGTTCCCCCAAATCCATCTGTCTGTCCTGCAGGGCTTCTGAGTGAGAACGGGTCATTCCAAGCCGAGGAGAGCCGCCAGCGGCTGGCAGAGGTGGCTCTGGCCTATGCCAAGGCAGGTGAGTGAGCCCCCAGCGGGGATGAGCACCCCCAGGTCAGGGAGGCAGCAGGGTGGACAGAGGAGGATCCCAGAGTTCTGAAGGCCACCCTCTGCCCTTCAGGATGTCAGGTGGTGGCCCCGTCGGACATGATGGACGGACGCGTGGAGGCCATCAAGGGAGCGCTGATGGCACATGGATTCGGCAACAGGGTAGGTGAGGGGTGTGGGGAGGAGAGAGAGCCTGGGCCAGACCTGCCCCTGCGTCTGCTCCTCACATGGGCGAAGCAAAGCCCGGAGCTCCAGTGGGCCTAGGACGCAGGCTTGTCTTCGGACCTGGGTCCTTCCTCTCCTTGTCACTTCACCCTGGGACACGTGGAAAGGGCTGGCTGAGCCGAGACCCCTGTTATCTCCCTGTAGGTATCAGTGATGAGCTATAGTGCCAAATTCGCTTCTTGTTTCTATGGACCTTTCCGGTGAGTAGGGATGGATCAGGGTCTGCTGTTGAATCCCTGACCTGCTAGCCCAAAGCTGGAGCCCACCCTGGTGTCTCTGCTTCCCAGGGACGCGGCTCAGTCGAGCCCGGCCTTCGGAGATCGCCGCTGCTACCAGCTGCCACCCGGGGCACGAGGCCTGGCCCTCCGCGCAGTGGTGAGTGAGCCCCACCCAGCCTCTCCCCCCACCCCAGTCGCCTCGCCTCCCAGGCACTGCCCACGCCATGCCTCATCTCTTAGGACCGGGATGTTCGGGAGGGAGCAGACTTGCTCATGGTGAAGCCAGGAACGCCCTACCTGGACATCGTACGGGAGGTGAAGAACAAGGTAAGAACAAGGGTGTTGCAACCCAAGACTGAGTCCAGTTCAGGTCAGTCCTGGCTTTGTACACCGTGTGACCTCGGGGAAGGCATTTTCTCTTTCTGAGCAACAGGGTATAAAGAACAAGGGCCAGAGCAGGGGCTGGGGAGATGAGAGTGTGTCCACAGATTCCGGGACCTTTGATCGAGGGAATCTCAGAGTTGGAAACAATCTGCCCAGGAACTAGAATGCTCCCCCACCTCCTGTATCCCATCCCTGCCAGGGAAACACTGTGGGCCTCTGTGCCAGGGCTTGCAAGTGCCTTTGAACAACTCAAGAGCGGGCCAGCCCGCCAGCAGCAGTGACTCAGGGCTTGTGGTAGGGAGGAAGGGCACCCAGGGGCACAGCCACCCCCCGCCACTTCAACCTGCCTGTCCCCCACTGCTTCCCCACAGCACCCTGAGCTCCCCCTGGCCGTGTACCACGTTTCTGGAGAGTTCGCCATGCTGTGGCACGGGGCCCAGGCCGGGGCATTTGATCTCAAGGCTGCTGTCCTAGAGGTCATGACTGCCTTCCGCAGAGCAGGTGAGTAAGCAGGAGTGGAGGGTTTTGACCTGGGCCACAGGGAACTGATAGGCACCTTGCCCAAATAGGGAAATAAAGTTAGGGGACAGCCTGGAGTCACCTGTCTGGAAATGCCAGTGATCTAAACAGACAGGCTGGGGAAGGGACTTGAAACTGCGGGGCAGAAGGTGAGCAAATGAAGCACGCAGAGCCCTCAGTTACTTTTTGATTGTGAGACCTTGGGCAAGTCACTTCTGTAACTTCAGTGTCCTCATCTGTAAACTGGGGATAAGATAGATGGTGCGTGGTCATCAAGGGGGTTAAATGAGATGCTGCGTGTAATTGGCATATCATGTCGTTTCAATGAGAGCTGGTTTTGTGGGTTAGGCACGCGGCCTGGCAGGGCAGCTCACAGCTTACCTGTGTCCCCCAATGTGCAATTTTATACACTGAGGCCCACAAAGAGAAAATGCTTTCCCCAAGGTCACACGGGGTATAGAGCCAGGACTGACCGGAACTGGACTCAGTCTTAGGTGGTGACGCCCTGGGGCTGTGCCTGTTCATAATAGCCTTCTTCGCACCCCAGCCCTCACCTCCCAGAAGGTATTTCCCAAGCTGATGCCACTTCTTTCCCCACACAGGTGCCGATGTCATCATCACCTACTACACGCCTCAGCTACTGCAGTGGCTGAAGGAGTGATGGAGAAAGTGTACCAGGTCCAAGAACTAGAACTTTTCTATTCCTGAGCCTTGGAGAAGTGAAAACCAAAGTAAACGATGCTTTTAGAACTGTGCACTCCTGCCCTCTTCCTGCTTATGTGCTGGCGGGCGCTTGGAAGCCCTTGGTGGTTTCTGCCAGCCTGCCAAATCTCCCCACTCGCAGCCACATCCTCACTGGCTCTCCCAGGCTTCCCAGTCCCTCCTCTGAGTCAGTCCTGAAGCTCACCTCTGCCAACCCCGGTCCTTCCTCTAGGGTCGCTTCAGCTGGAAAGCCACCAGGACTCATAGCATCAGCTCAGTGGGTCCTGGGAGAAGGGCTTGGAACATTAGGGGAGAGAGGGCAGTTGATTCTTGGACCCTAAGCAGCTCTGGAAAGCTGGAGGCCTCTGGCAGCAGAGCTGGGCACATAGGCCTAGATTGACACCCTGGGTTTAGAGTTGACATTTGCTTCAATTCCACTGGAAAGCGATCCCCACACAGGCCAGTGGTTGCCAGGCTGCCTGAGGTCTCCTGTTGTTCTCTGAGCCATAAACCCGGAGAAGAATTACTCATTAACAAGAAGAAAAGAATGAATTCATTAACAAGCAGGAATGCTGCCGAAGGATCGAAATTCAGAAGCAAAGAAAGAATTCCTGACTGTTGGAGATGGCACCACTGAAAAGGCTCTTTATTGCAGAGATATTTCTTGAGAAAGTCTGCTGTGTACCCATGCATGATACCAGGTCCTGGGGATTTATAGCAGGACAGACTTCAGCTTGTCTCTGCGTGGAATCTACACAAGGGAACCAGGGTGACAGACGCCAACAAGAAAACAAATAAGGCAGTTACAGATGGTAATAGTGCTTCCATGGAAAGAAAGGGTCTGAAACAGAATAATAGATGATGAGCCTCACTTGAGAAGCCCTTTCTGAGATTGAGGGGCAAGGAAAGGCCTTTACCAAGAGGAGAGGGAAGTGGACGTCAGAAGCTGCAAGAATGTGTAGTAGTGTGCAGGTTCCTGCGAGAGCAGGAACCCCATTGTGGGAACCAGATGAGGAAGAAGGTGGATGACAGCACTGGAGGTTGGAAAGGTAGAGCCCACACTTCGTAGGAAGCTTGGTTTCTGTTCTGTATCTGATACAAAGCCATCTGAAGGGTCTTAACCAGGTGTTATGTGTGTTCCAGTTTCCCCCATTCTGCTGCTATGAAAAAAAAATGGAGGGGTGGGCCAGAACCAGCCTGGTTGGGAGGCTGCTGCAGACCCCAGGGAACCACGCCAGTGGCCTGGACCAGGGTGGTGGCAGTGGAGAGCAAAGGAAGCGGACTGTGTTCAGGATACATTCTGAAGACCGAATAAGCAGACTTTGCCAAAGTTTTCCTGTTGGGGGATTGAGGCAGGGAACAAGATGCCTTCATGGGTTTCTGGCTTGAGAAACAGGTCTCTATTGGTTCTTCTAAGGGGATGCGATGTGATGTTCCCCACCCCCCAGTGAAAGTTCAGGCCCAGCTAAGGAGGGGCCAGTTTTCAAGTCCACATTCCTATCTGCAGAGTGACAGAGAATCCCAGCTCTAGAGCCAAAGCAAGGCTATTTTGGATGTTAAAGCAGTACAACCTATTTTAAAATTTAGAAATATTTGAGTTAGAGGCAGGTCCCCTCTGACTCCTGGTGTTCTTCCCCAGAGCTGTGGCCACCTCATTCTGTACTCAGCTTTTGGGACATGAAGAATCACCTTGAGACCGAAAACCCGAGAGATGAGCCACTGACGGGTCTCAGAGCTTGGACCAAGCCAGGACCTTGCACCACCTTCGTTTCTGTGCTCCCTGGCCCTAAGCTCATTTCTCATTAGTGTGGAAGGGAACGTTCTTCAAGGCCATCCCACACTCATCATTGTCAAGCTGAGAGGGGGTCCAGCTCTGTTCTAGGCACAAGGAGATGGGAGACAAACCATTCTCAGGAAGCAAGTAACTGTGTCCCGAGCCCCCAGGAGTTAACACTGAGCAGAGTGGTGATGGGGCTCCCTAAGGAGAATCAATAGGCAGACCTGTTACCACTGATGTAGTGACAGGTGCTGGGAAGGCCACCAGGTATGACCTGGTATGACCTGGTAGGAAGGATCAGAAAACACTTCCCTGAGGCCTGATGTTTAAATTAAACCTAGACCTAGAAAGCAAGCAGCCACGCTGGCACATGTTTAGGGATGATCGTTCCCAACAGAAGGGATCGTGGGGCCAAAGTGAGCTGGTGGCTGAGACCCAGGAAAGGTTTTTAATGTTTTTTTTTAAATCTTTTTTATTTTCTAAATTATTAAAATATGATAACACATTTACAGGAGACTTGGAAAATACAGTACAAAGTTAAGATTTTTAGTTGGAATTTCAATTTATAGAAGCATTTTGACAGCACTGTGGCAAAGCACGAATAAGAAATGTGGCCTAGACTGAGTGGTGACCGGGGGGATGGAGAAGAGAACCAACCGATTTAGGACTTAGGTGAGATGTCAAGGACAAACTTGGCTGGAGCTCCTGGGTGGCTGATAGGCAGGCCATTGACTGAGGTGAGAAAGCTTAGAAAGGGAATCCTAAATTTAGCGTGGGTTTGCAGTGAAGAAGCTCTTTCTGTTAGTTTATGTTTATATGACTCTCTCAAGGCTGCTCAACAAGTTTGTGGCAGAACTGGGTCTAGAACCCCAGTCACCAAAAACAGCAGAGCTGGGATTTGAAATCACATAGCACAGTTTGAAGGCCTCTACCCTTACCCACTCTTCCATACCACCTCCCAATAAACAGTACCAAAATTATAGCTCTAACACCGATGCTCTTAGTAGCTCTAGTAATGGGGCACGTCCAGGGGCTGAGCTACCTTCAGGCATATGGTCTATGTGAGTGGCGCCCTCTGGAGTCAGGACTTAGCACCTGAGGTGCCGTAATTTTATCCTTGGGCAGAGAACTCAGCTTTCACAAGCAGCAAGGCATATTATTCTCAGACTTCCTGGTATCTGGTGAGCATTAAGGGCCTCTCTCAACACAATATGATTTTCTTATTTCCCTCTCAAGACGTGCCAGCTTGGATGGTAGCTTGTCCCTTAATGCGGCATCCCGCAGACCACCACAAATAGCCAACACATTCCCTCATCCTCACTTTTCATTTCACTAAGATCCCTAAAACTACCTCAGTGGGCATACGGTTGAGGGCCCCTAAAACAGCAAGCATTTAAACCAGATATTTTACAACCAATTTCCCAACTAGGGAAGGGGGAGTCCAGACCTTGCCCTGTATGGACTCTGCCAGTTCCATACATTAGGGCCTGTCACTTGCAGCACCCCATATTCTGCCTTGTTCTGGGTGCTCTTGGTGGCAAGTGACAGATACAGCCTCTCCCAGAAGCCTGTATCCCTTCCTATCTCTCACCTGTGTTTGCCTCAGCTTGCCTTTATTCTAATAGGGGTTTTGCCACTTGACAGAGGCATGGTCCCTGTGTGTGAAAGTCACTCAGTCATGTCTGACTCTGCAATCCCATGGAAGTAGCCTGCCAGGCTTCTCTGTCCATGGAAGTCTCCAGGCAAGTATCCTGGAGTGGGTTGCCGTGCCCTTCTCAGGGCATCTTCCTGATCCAGGGATCGAACCTGGGTCTCCTGCACAGCAGGCAGATTCTTTACCATCTGAGGCACCGGGGAAGATGGTCCTTAATCCTTTCTATCCCAGTATTCGCATAGCAGATCTCTGGAGGTCTCTGATTGGTCCTGCTCGGGTCACACGACCAGCCTCAGTTTAGTCCCTGTGAACAACTGCATGGGAGATGTGGCGAGGAGATGGAAAGCTGGTAGAATCTCAGAGCTTTTGCACCTGTGGGTGTCCCCTTTGCCTGGAATGCTTTTTACCTAAAATCTTTAATGGCTGTCTCCTTTTTCATTGTTAAGATCTTGATTTAAATGTCACGGCCTCAGAAAAATCTGCTCTGACATCAGATTTAAAGTCATTCCCCAGTTAACTCTGTTAGTCAGGATTCATGTTCAGTAATTATAACAAAAGCCAAAATAATGATGGCTTAAGATGGAAATGTGTTTCTGAGTAGTCTGGGCTATATGGTGGTCAGCTATATGATGTGGGGGGTCATGACTCCTGCCTTGTTCTGTCATCAACACATCTTGGCTTCCATCTCATGATCAGTTGGTGGATCCAGTTCCAACCATCAGGCCCTCTTTCAGTCAGCAGAAAGAGGAGACGAGCAATAGAGGGCATGACACCTCACACGGGCACAACCCAGAAGCTGCACACGTCATTTGCCCTTGTCTGAACTTAGTCCCATGGCTAAGGCTGTTTTTTTTTAAAACAATTTTTTTTGGTCACACCATGCTGGAAGAGAGTCTGCTGGAAGGCTGGAAAAGAGTCTGGTGGGGCAGCCCTGTGCTCAGCTAAAACTTGGGAGATTCAATTACTAAGGAAGATGGAGAGATGGATATGGGGGCAAATGGCCATCCCCACCACATGGAGTTTTTGTAATGACAGATACAATGGCCAGAATATCAAAGAAGTCCTTAGAGACCATCTGGTTAAACACTCTAATTCGATAGATGAGAGCCAGAGAGGGGACTTGTCCAAATTTCACACAAGCCAGTGTTAGACTAAGGCTGGGTCCGGATCTCCTAACTCCAAGCCCAGTGCTCAGAACTAGGGGAGGGATTGCTCAGGACTTTATCTTTTATGTATTATCTTAGCTTCAAGTACATTTTTGTCTTCATGTATTATGTCTAACAAGAATATATTCATGTGTTATTCATGTAAGTGAAAACTTGGCCAATATACATGAAAAAGTATTATATTCACTACTTAACAGAGGAAGTCAAAACCATAATGAGATATCACCATATATCCATCAAAATGCCGAAAACTTAAAAAAACAGACTACCAATTCTTGAGAATGTGGAGCAAGTGCAACTCTCCGGCATGACTGGTACAATCATTTCAGAAAACTGAAATGATATACATCTACCAAAATGACATACACATACCTATGGCCTAGTGATTCTACATCTAGGGATTTACCCAAAAGAAATATGTATGCATGTGACCAAAACACATGTTCAAGGATATTCAT